GAGACAGTTTCACTTTTTTGCCTTTGGTAGAGTGCCTTGATGTCATACCTCACAGCAATCTCAAACTCCTGGGTTCAAGCGATTCTCTTGCCTTGGCCTTCCAAATAGCTGGGACTATAGGCGCCGGCCACAACACCCGGCTATTTTTAGAGACGAGGGTCTCACTCTGGCTCAGGCTGGTCTCGAACCTGTGAGCTCAGGCATTCCACCTGCCTTGGCCTCCCAGAGTGTTAGGATTACAGGCGTGAGCTACTGCGCCAGGCTGAATACTGATTCTGAACATTTCTGATCATATCTCATTCACCAAACAAGTAACTTGGCTTTACCCAACTTTAGATGGAGCCAGGAAGGGCAAATCTGCCATGAACTGGATTAGTTATGAAGAACTCAAATAATTAACATTATGATTAATCTTAATTTCTTTTTTTTTTTTTTTTGAGACAGGGTCTTAACTATGTCACTCTCGGTAGAGTGCCATGGCGTCACAGGTCACAGCAACCTCAAACTCTTGGGCTTAAGCGATTCTCTTGCCTCAGCCTCCCAAGTAGCTGGGACTATAGGTGACTGCCACAACACCCGACTATTTTCTTTTTGGTTATAGTTGTCGTTGTTTGGCAGGCCCGGGCTGAATTTGAACTTGCCAGCTCTGGTGTATGTGGCTGGCACCTTAGCCGCTTGAGCTACAGGTGCTGAGCCGAGTAATACTAATATCATGTACTAATTTTGTTGTTGTTATTTTGGCCATGCATCTTAGAAAGGAAAAGAAAACTCTGATGTGTAATTCTCTTCCCCCTGTCTGTCTTCTTCCCTTACTTTGCCTCTTCTAGAGAAGGAATCTGTTTCTACCCCACCATTAATATTCTTCTATCGTGTACTTTTTATACTGTCTCTTGAAATAGCCATCCAAGTGAAAAGGCAAGTAAAAATCTCTTTCTGTTCTTTAATTTCAGTTGTCACATGTTCCTTTTTGTTCTAAATTTACTTAATCATACACTGCCAATAAGTTTCGTTCTCTTCATGACATGTTCCCCTCTTGCCCCCCAGTCACCAAATCCATAGTAAATTTCTAAGGGATTTTTTTTTTTTTACAGCATTCTGATAGAGGGACGGCTTATGCAAGACTTGAATAAAAATTTCCAGACACAGAACCTTCTAAGAAACCATGAGCATTTATTCCTACCTCTTATTTCCTTACCCAACACTGAACTAAATCCTTCTCTAGAAGTTTTTAGCATTGCAGAGGATCTTTTGAGCCAGGGAAAATGCTTGCAAATGCTTTTTGACAAATACTTTGGCTATCCTGGAACACAAACTTCGGAAACATACAGTCTTAGGTCCATGTTAAGTGAAGCTCATTTCTCAAAGTATGGCTTCTTGTTCACTGTGATTATTTTCCCTGTTTCTCTCTGTGTTTTTACCAACATGGTCAGTCTAAGGCTAGAATTTTGCTGCCATGCCGTTCTGCATAAGTCTGAGCCTTTCAGAATTACTATTTCACCAAGACAAGACCCTGAGCCAGAGATTAGTGTTTGGGTCCACTTATATCTGTCACATCCTGCTTAGCTACGATGTAGCTGAATAACAGGTTAACTCCTTTCCCAAGCTACATCTTCAGGTAGAGAAGCTTTTAAGGCAAGAAAGGCCACTGAGAAAGTTTTTAAATTTCAGTTCTTTTTTTTTTTTTTTTGAGACAGAGCCTCAAGCTATCCCCCTGGGTAGAGTGCTATGGCTTCACTGCTCACAGCAACCTCCAACTCCTGGGCTCAAGCGAGTCTCCTACCTCCGCCTCCTAAGTAGCTGGGACCACAGGAGCCCGCCACAACGCCTGGCCATTTTTTGGTTGCAGCCATTATTGTTGTTTGGCGGGTCTGGGCTGGATTCGAACCCGCCACCTTGGTGTATGTGGCTCGTGCCTTAGCCGCTTGAGCCACAGGCGCGGAGCCTAAATTTCAGTTCTTAAATACATTTTGGTATGTGCATCAGGATTAGAGATGCATGTGATGAGGATCTCTGTGGATATAACAGTTACCTAAGTCAAATGCTAAAGTGATACTTTTTGGAGCATTGTCTTTAGTAGTCATTTATACATTTGCATTACTTCAGGACAGATCACTTTCGTTTTGTTTTAGGAGATGTCAAAACAAAGCAGATTTATTTATGTGTTGTTTGGTTTTTTGATTTCCCTTTATTTGACTATATTTCTATATTCATTAAAGTCTCTTCAGGACAGACAACCATGTTCCATGTCTCCTCAGGACAAAGTTACCTCATACACCTACCCCAAGAAGGTAATCTTCATTGTGTTATCAATCGGTTACAATGCTTTCACCTTCAAAGGAGCTGCTTGTGTTCCTTAGGTATTACTGTACCTATGGTATCTGGCACAGTGATCACTAAATTCATTCAACAAATTTTTGAGCATCTGCTGTGTGCCAGACACACTATTCTATATACTGGCCTTGGACTATTCATAGTCTACTGTGAACCTTTTATGTATAATTGAGTTAATAATTACCTGCCAAATCTATCTCACTTACTAAAACTTAAATTTAAGGCTCTTATCTAGAATGAGAAGGCAGCATAAAAAGGTAGCTGAAACCACATCATTCTGAGAAAAGGAAGAGAGTAGGAAGAGCATCTGAAACAGAGCCAATGTTTTAGAAAATGGATAGAGGAGAAACAGCCAGGGAGGGAGGAAAAGCAAGAGAGTAGATAGAATGTTATAGAAGTCTTAGGAAGAGGTTTCAAGGAGCATTCAAGTGTCAGTTGCTGCCAAAAGGTCAAGCCACTTAAAGATTAACAAGAATCTAATAGGATACGTTGCCATAGAGACCACTGGTGACCTTGAATGGATTTTCAGAGGGGGTATCAGTCATACTGCAGTGGGAGGTAAGGAGTAGAAACTACGAGTAAGGACAGTATGCTCAAGAAGAGTCTTTACTGTTTAGTGAATCTCTCTCTGCACAGTACTGTACTGGGGGCTATGGGGAAGTAGTCTGTTCTCTTGAAGCACTGTGGCATAAGCAGAAAAAAATTGCAGTCTCATGAAATTACAAAAAATACAAAGCACCTTTTCTATTAAAAGATATATATGCTGGGTGGCGCCTGTGGCTCAGTGAGTAGGGTGCTGGCCCCATATGCATAGGGTAGTGGGTTCAAACCCAGCCCCGTCCAAACTGCAACAAAAAATAGTTAGGCGTTGTGGCCGGTGCCTGTAGTCCCAGCTACTCGTGAAACTGAAGCAAGAGAGTCTCCTGAGTCCAGGAACTGGAGGTTGCTATGAGCTGTGTGATGCCACAGCACTCTACTGAGGGCAACAAGGTGAGACTCTGTCTCTTTTTTTTTTTTTT